TGAATGCACCTTCTAGCTCTCGCAGATTATTTCTTCAGTGTAAGATAAAGAAGTCCCACTCTGGAACCACAGAATTATCCAACTAACTGATTCTTCCTTTAATCATATGCTCCCAATCCGACCTTCTTGCCTACTCAGTCTTTCTTCCACTCAACATGCTGTAGTAATCTTACCAAATCTTACATCTTTATGCATCTATTCTGTACTTAAACCTTGGATGACACTTAGTTTCTTATGGGAAAACCCTATATTGTCTAGGCATGACAAGTAAAGCTTTCTAGATTTGATGTCTCTTCAGTTCTCTGGCATCTTCACTCTCACTTGCATCAAGCAATACCAAGTAACTCCCAGTACCCAAATGCAACATACCCTTTTTAAACTCTTTCTTTTTTTTAATGATTTTATCTGGCATTGCCCTTCCTTTTCTCTTTTCCATCTGAAAATCTTCCATTCATTCTTTAAAATCTGGATCCAAATCACCTGTTCTTTGATGCCACTATCAAATCTTCCCAATAATAAACCATTTTATCTAGCAGTACATATCATTATGGTACACATTAGAAGTTACAATTATTTGTTAGAAAAATTTATTTACCCTTACAATTTATGAACTCCTTAAAGGCAAGGGTCACATCTTATTTATCTTTGGGTCTTGAGAAACTCAAAGAGCATCTTCTTTTACTATCTACTCATGCTTGTTTTTATACTAGTTATATATACTTTATAAACATTTCTTAAGTAAATGAATGTTGGATCCTTACAAGTGAAAAGAGCACTTGTTCCATATAATTCCCGGGACTGAGCTCTAGTAAGGGAAACATGACAGGGCTCATTACTTATTTATCACTGTTTTGACATTTACGTAATCTTCTGGCAAATTCCAAGGTTGTAAGCATCTCGTCTACATGAAGGAGCGACAGAAACGAACCACCCTAGGCCTATAAGTGAGTCACGAGCATCATGACACCCAGAAGTGTCACAGCGAATGTATTATTTTCCCCTTCACCTCCTGCATGTGACTTTGGACAGCTGTTGTTACACCAAATTCATAAGAAATAAAGCTCCTTGACAATTTATATTATTTCAGAAGCAAAATGCACTCTGAAAAAAGCACTCATATCTTCCCCCTACTAAAGATCATTTTCTTGTCTCTCTCTCTTTTTTTTTTAACAGAGATTCTTGCTATAGGGCCCATGTGCTCACAGGAGAGCCAGAGAGACAGAAAACAAGTAATCATCCCCCAGGAGTATGACCACACCACAATCCCTTCTTTTCCATTCTCCTCTCAGGATTTTGGGCGTGCGCACACACACACACACACACACAGGCACCTGGCATGAGTTTTAAGCCACTGGGTCCAGGACTTGAACCATAATGGACTACATGGGAGTTCAGCAACATAATCATTACACCATCTTCTGGTCCTACTGTTCTTGTCTCTTCTAAGGAATGTAATCAAACTTACGTATCTCCAGTCACACTGATCAGAGTTACACTGGAAACTAAGTAACCCGCCATAGTGTTCCTTGCTTATTTGATCCATGAGCTTTCTTTGTCTGAGAGCCTCTATTTCATCAGTGTAAGCTAAACTAGTGTGCTCCCCCCTTTTACTATTATGACTGTAATCAATGGATAATAAGTGAGTATTCTCAATTTTTTCTAACAGTGCTGCTTCCCAGGAAATTCTGGGAATAAAATGAAAAGTGTGTTATCTTTCCTTTTATATTTATAATTACGTTTCGTGCTTTCTATTATTTCACACCACTGCATTTTTCTTTCTATTCTTCATGAGGAATTTACTTTTCTTAGAAGTGAGAATTAATACCTATGTGTAACTAATGACGGTTCTTCCATGAGCTCATTAACCAAAAAGCAACGATGAGAAGAGATCAAAAGTTGGCATCACTACAGTTTACATCTTTTTCAATGTCTATTAATATTTTATAAGATGTAATATGGCTTTAAAATATATGGTCCTAGAGTATAATAGATACAAATTAGTTTCTCTCATTTTAAATAATCTCTGAAACTAGCACAATGAGTTTCATGTTTCTATGAGTCAGATTGAGAAATATAATTGAAAACCGATTTCGTGGAAACCAAACTTATTCTTGTTTTCTCTGTTCTGTCTTTCCTCTTTTGTTTCCATTTTTGCTCATTTATTCAATAAATTCTAATTGGCCATATCATTTGTTGATTGGATTTTGCTAGGCACTGTGAACAATTTAGTATTTGTGAAGTTACTATTTTCAAAAATCTTGCAGAAAGACACACAAAAAGCTAAGAAAAAGAGATGTCCCCACAATGCCGTCCACTGAGTTCAGAAGCCAGTTTTCCCTTGCTGACATTTTCAATGAGAGTCCTCCAGATTGCCATCTTCTGTGATTTATTTTTAAATCTTCTTTCAGCGAATAGACAGATGCATGGACACATCAGTGGTTCTATTCCCTATCTCTCCTGTTGCCTCAAAGTTAACTTCTGAGCCCTGAAAACAAAAATTGGAAATACTCTAAGCAGACCATTTTGTGAATTTCAGGTTATTATCTGCTCAGTTCCACTAAAGTAAAAAACCTAGGGTTGTGTGAATTAAAACAAGGGTATTTTTGTCCAGCTGTCTATATAATAACTATTACATGCATATGTAAAATCTTATAAAAAGAAAGTTATTTCACCATGTTTGGGAATGAATTGTTACCAAAATGAGGAAACTTCATTAATAACTATACCACTTTCCAATTGTATTGAAGGTGGACTCTGATTATATTAACTAGCCCATTGTGTTTGTGTGTAACCCACTTTATTTGACTCCATAAACTGAGGCAGTTCCATGTCCTTTTCTTTCCTGTCAATGTTTCCTGTCAATGGGCAAATAATCCCTTGCTTATATAAGCAACTGATGGGATTATTTGACCAATATGACCAGTGTCACCAATATCATTTTCTTCTCGTACCCTCAGGTGAGTCATTTTGTACATAACTCATTACTTTTTTTTTTTTTTTTTGAGAGGTTTTTGCTATAGGGCACATGCGCTCACCAGAAAGACACAGACAGAGAGATAGAAAGTGAGAAATCACGCCTTGGGGGGGATGGCCACACTGCAATCTCTTCTCCTCCATTCTCTTCTCTGGATCTTGGGCATGCATGCACACGCACCCGGCATGAGTTTAAACCACCGGGTCTGGGACTCGAACTGCAGTTGACTACATGGGAGTCCAGTGACATAGACAACTGCTGGTCCTATACCTAGCTCATTACCTTTTAAATAGTTTTCTGTGTAGTTCTGTTAAATTTATCCCCAGGGAATAGCCTTTCTCTTGCTCACATTTTTCTTACCACTTCAATGACTAAAATTTCCTCATTGTGTTTTAATTGCTTTTACACTTTTGTATCTCTGTGCTAGAGTGTAAGCATCTCAAGGGCAGGAACTATGGCTTGATCACTGTGGCATGGCCAGAGCATAGTGGGTTCCTGGAGTATAGAAAGTATTCAGTAAAGATTTTCTGAAAAAATGCTCAGAATTGAGAGAAGGGCATCTGACATGGAGCGTCCAAGGAAAGGCACCAAACGCAGACATGTCTCAGCAGTACTAAACACTGAGGCAGTAAATGCTAGGAGCTCAGATGCCAGTCTTTGCCTGCTAGCATACCTTGCCCTAGAGAGTTGGGGAAGATTTCAGAGAAAGATGCATTTAAAATAAGACCTGAAGAGTGACTGCAAGTGAGCTAGGCATAGGAGAGGTAATTTAATAATCATTAAAAAAAAAAAAAAAAAAAAAGAGCATGGACAAAAACCCAAATTTGAGAAACAGCAGAGCCCATAGAAAGGCAGGCAGACAGATCCGTGCAGCTCTGCTCTATGTTAGCCATGACTGGGGATGAAATGAAAGTCCTAGTATGTATATGAGGGCATATGTGTATGCTCATATGAGTGGGACTTTAGTTTTTTTAGATTTTAATTAGAGATTAAAAAATCAAATCCATTCACCTATAAAACCGTACATGACTAAACATTTCCATTAAAATTCTCATTGTTTTACTGTTCCTCAAGCTAAATTTTAATTGTGTGTATCATTGTTTATTTCTTTTCATTGTTAGCATCTCAATAGTATTTTTTTTTTTTTTGGAGAGGTTTTTGCTATAGGGCGCGTGCACTCACCAGACAGACAGAGAGAGACAGAGAGGCAGAAAGCGAGAAATCACCCCCCAGGGGGGATGGCCATGCCGCAATCCCTTCTCCATTCTCCTCTCGGGATCTTGGGCACGCATGCACACACACCTGGCGTGAGTTTTAAGCCACCGGGTCTGGAACTCGAACCACGGTCGACTACGTGGGAGTCCAGTGACATATCCATTACGCTAACTGCTGGTCCCTCAATAGTATTTTTAAATGACTTCTCTGCAGACGATAGTATAGTTAAGGAGAACCTAGCCAACTTGCATGAAATTATTATGTACAAAAATTCTATGGCAAGTTCCAAACATTCAACTTAGAAGTAAACATTCAGAAAATTCAGGGTTTAGGTGCACACAGGACCCAAACTGGGAGCAGAAGAAGATGAAAGGCACACTGAGTTTGGAGTCCGAACATCCACACCCTTCATTGACCAAGCCCATGAGACTCCCAGACTTAGCCTCTGTTAGTGGAATCCATAATATCTGCATCATAGGTATTCCCAAATCTGCAAGAGAAACAACAGATGACATGAATCACCTCACAGATGGTGAGTGGTTATATTTAGCTATAGCACAAGGTCATCTTCTGTTATTTTTATGTCAGAAAATAAAAATTTCATATTCTTCCCAACAACTACAACACCATTACATATGGAAAAATATGTGCAGCAATTTAGGTGAGTGGAAGTAAAACTGTACTTTTTAAATATACAGTTTTAGTTTTTCTCTCTGTTTGTGACATGATTTCAGCCAGTGTGTTTTCATAGTAATGGCTGTGTGCTCATTAGCATGATGATAATAGAAACTGTAACGATTTTGTCTCATAGAATGATTGAAGATAGTGGGAAAAGAGGAAATACCATGGCAGAAAGAAGACAGCTGTTTGCAGAAATGAGTAAGTATGGAATTTTTAAAGAACTCCTTAGAATTTCCATTGGCTACTCATGGAAAGACTAGAAGTCATCCCTTAATCCTTACGGCATTTGTAAATTTTCTTGAAATCCTATATTCCTTGAATAAGTTGTATATTTGGCCATTTTTGCCTCCCATGAAGAGTTAAGGTAGTGCACCATAAACTTTGTTACTAAACTGTGCATTTTATAGGGAAGAAAGACTCTGTGAATCTATACGTGCAGGTTCACACATACGCAGAGACACTTTGTATCCACAGTTTAGTGCTGACATTAGTACAGACCACTGAACTGGAAGGCCAGTGCTCATCCCCCTGTACTGTCATGGCAGTTGGCACACTTAAGTGATAGATGAAATTTGTAGAATGAATCACTAAATGTCTTCCCTGCAAAATGATATTAGGTGCTCATACAGGAAGGTGGAGTTAGGGATGATACTTGGGCCACACAAAGCTGTCACCTGGACCTCAGGTAGGAAGGAAGACGCTGTCTTATAAACCAATTGTCAGAAGTACAAAGGGAAACAGAAGATAAAAGGAGATCTGAGGTGATCTGCTATACAAGCAAAACCAAACTTAAATTATATTTACTGACTCCCATGGAGAAACTCTTAAATAAAAGCTATCAGTTAATGTTTGCTGCGATTGGCGGATAAACAGTTGACTGGCTAAGTTCTTCCTTATAGACTATTGTACTTATTCACAAGAGAAAAATTATTTGACTTTGGGGAGAAAACACACATCTCAAATTAAATGTTAAAAAGAATAAATTATGATTCTCTTATTGTCTTTTAATCTCTTCGTTCTGCATAAGGACTAAGATAATCAGTAATGAGTCGTAAGCCTTTTTCCCTGAGAAGGCAGGAGACAAAATTAGGTTTTTACTGGAGACTGGGACTGACTGACAAGAATGAGGGTTGGAAAAGATAAAGAAAAGTCCCAGATAATAAGGTTCATATTTTTCTTTATCATTTCTCTATAATCTGGTGACACCAAGACAATGAGAACAAAATTAAAATTGCTGTGGGGAATCTCAGTCATGCTCTTGCTTTTTCCGTTTTTAGGAACGTGTCTAAAGTGTCTGTGAGAGTTTCCGCCAAGGCTTTCCAGTCTCCTAGGCCTTGTTTGGTACTGTACTGTCTCCTCACTGGTGGTATGGGTAGTAACCCGGAACTGTGAACCTGGGTTCAGATTCAAATATACCAGAGGAAGGAACCTAGTTACTAGTTAAAGTCTCAGTTAGACTGGAGGAGTAAGTTTTAGTAACTGATTGTTGTGTATGGTAGTAGTTAATAATAATATATATTTCAAAGTTGTTTTAAAAATAGATTTTTAACCCTTTCACCAGAAAAAAGAGAGTTGTTAGGTGATATGTCGATTAGCTGGATTAGATCTTTCTATAATATATTACATAGATCAAGATATCATATTGCACCCCACAAATACACATGATTATTTGTCAATATTTAAAGTTTTGTGGGGTTTTTTGGAGAGATTTTCACTATAGGGCGCATGTGCTCACCAGACAGACAGAGAGACATAGAGACAGAAAGCGAGAAATCACCCCCCAGGGGGGATGGTCACGCTGCAATCTCTTCGCCTCCATTCTCCTCTCGGGATCTTGGGCACGCACGCACTTGCGCCCGGCGTGAGTTTTAAGCCACCGGGTCCGGGACGCGAACCATGGTCGACTACGTGGGAATTCAGCAACATAGCCATGATACTAACTGCTGGTTCCCTATTTGTCAATATTTAAAAATATTTTAAAATATTTTTATGCAATAGAAAACAAATCTATTTGGATAGTCAAAATATGAATGGAAAACAATTAAAGAACAATATGCTGTATTTCTGAGGGGTGGAATCTGCTTACTGCCTGCCTTTCTAACCCAAAGCAGCACAGATGTCAAAAAGATGAAAGTACACTGTGGCCAATGTCTTTCAGACACACACAGACATATTAGTATTTACCATAAACAAGTACTAAAATTCAGGGGGGATGTTTGAACTATCACTGTAACACTAAATGATAGTGTCGTCCACCACACTGTACAAAGTATGAAACTGTTCTTATTTAACGATTTTATAAATAGTTATCTAAATACCTCCACTTCCCCTGTGTCTAGTGCAGTGCCTGGCAAACATGTGTGGGGGGGGGGGGGTGTGTGTATCTGTTGCAAATGGATTTTGGATTAAAATGGCCCATGCTAAGAAAGCCTGATATAACTTTTATAACCATAGAAATAAAACAGCTCTACATTTTTGTTCAAGTGAGAGGGATTTGGGAAAATCATGCATTCATTTCTTTGATTGTAACTAACTTTTCATAGAAACTTCACAGGGATGTTATGTGACTTTATTAAGTACTTTTAGTTCTCCTGATTAGTGATCAGAATAAATAAAAGCAAACCAAACAAATATGTATTTTTGTCCCTCAGTGTGCTAAAAAGCATGTTGGCCAAAAATAGTTCAATGTATCTGGCCTTGCCAGTCTGGTGTTGGCACGAACATGTTTAGATCAGTACTAAGCAGGACACATTACTGTAGAGTAAGTGGATTCTGTTGGATGAAACAATCACCTCGCTTCAAAATAAGGAATTGATTTTGCTAAATATACTGTCATATAAAAGAGAAAAGTAACTCATTAAGAATGTGTTTGAAGGGACCAGCAGATGGTATAATGGTTACATCACTGGACTCCCACATAGTCCACCATGGTTTGAGTCCTGGACCTGGCAGCTTTAAATTCATGTTGGGCGGATATGTGTGCATCCCCAAAATCCTGAGAGGAGAAGGTAGTGCGACATGGTCATTTCCCCCCCACCAGGGGGTGATTTCTTGCTTTCTGTCTCTTTGTCTCTGTCTCTCTGGAGAAGAGCTCATATGTCCTATAGCAAAAAATCTCTCTCTTCAAAAAAGAGAATGTGTTAAATGATTAGTGTGTGTGTATATATATATTACACACTAATATCTATATAATGTGTATATATATATATATACACACATACACACACATAATACGTATATAGGTTAGGTTAGGTTAGGTTACTCCTGTTCTGTCAGCAAGACACTAAAGAAATAAAAGGAGAAGACAAGATTAATCAAAAGAGATTAACCTGGAGATTTGAAAAGTAACTTCTTCCAGGATTCTTTGATATGTTAACAGAGAGCATAAAAAAGGACTAGGAATTGTAAATAATAGTACAGAAAAAAGAAAGCAGTGAAGAGATTTTTTGCTTTAGAAACTACAAATGTGAGTGACCAGTAGTTGGCTTACTGGCTATGTCGCTGGACTCCCATGTAGTTGATCGCAGTTCGAGTCCCAGACCTGGTGGCTTAAACTCACGGAGGTGTGTGTGCGTGCAAGATCCAGAGAGGAGAAGGGACTGTGGCATGGCCATCTCCCCTGGGGGTGATTTATCACTTTCTGTCTCTCTGTCTCTGTTTCTGGTGACCATATGCACCCTATAGCAAAAACCTCTCCCCTCCCCCCCAAAAAAAAGAAGAAGAAGAAAAGAAACTACAAATGTGAAAGAACAATTGCACTGGACAAAGTCAAACGGGCAGGAAAGATATTCAGGATTGAACTCAACTGCACTGGAATAAAAGGCAGAAGGGTTTTTAACCACTGGGATGAGCTCCTGGGAAAATTCTGGAGGACTTTAGGAGCGAGGTTGGTCAATGTGATTAGGCCGTCTATGTTTACTAAGTGTTGTAATTCAGAATTGGACCCTAGCTGGTGGCATGGTGGTTAAGGTGGCTGGAACCCACATGGCCTGCTGCACAGTTCAAATCCTGGAACCAGTGGCTTGAAAAATGTGCCAGGTGCATGTCCTTGAGTGACAAAATCCTGAGAGGAGAATGGAGAAGTGATTGCAGCATCACCATCCCCCTGGGGAGTGATTTCTCACTTTCTCTCTCTCTCTCTCCCTCTCCCTCTCCCTTTCTCCTCTCTCTCCCTCTCCCCTCTCTCTGTCTCTCTGTCTTCCTTTCTTCCTCCCCTCCTCGCCCCCAGGGAGCACACATACCCTCTAGCAAATTAGGAAAACTAGAGAAAAAAAGTTAGACTCCTACCTTTCACAGACACTCAAACCTGGTGGTATAATCTCCTTCAGTGGTTACATTTCAAAAGGCTGGCCCTTACAACCCAGAGACAGAGAAAGATTTACAATGAAACTTTTCTAAAGTAAATACTTCAAGAAAAAAGAAGTTAAGGACCTAGAGGCAGGAAGAATCCTGCCTAAAGTTGCAAGTTGAAAGGAAAGTTAGAGCTGTGTTAGCCAAAGAATAGAGAACAACTGATAAGAGCAATTGATGAGAAACTGGCAAATCCAGGTATTAGAGCACATATGGCATCTAGTTTTACAGGAGTCCTTCAGTATCCATTGGGGATTGGATCCGGGATTTTCTGTGGATACCAAATCCGGGAATGCTGGAATTCATGATGTAAAATGGTAGTATTTGCATATCACTTACAGAGATCCTCCTGTATACTTTAAATCATTCCAGACTATTTGTAATGCCTAATACAATGTGAATTCCATTAAAATCATTGTCATACTATATTGT